GTCTGAACAGCCGGGATTGGTGGCCCCAAGCGGCCGGGATTGGTCCCTCTACCGGTTGAACCCCCACCCCCACCCCGAGTCGACGCTCTCTTTTCCCGTGCTTCTCCCCCCCCCCCCGTTCCCCTGTCCCAGCAATCGACGCTCTCGCTGTCCCGACCACCCCCCCCCCTCGGCGGCCATCGAGACCCTCTCCTGCCTGCACCTTTCCCCTCTTCTCACCCCCCTCGGCGGCAGTCGAGACTCTCTCCTTCCCGAACCTCCTCCCCTTCCCTCCTGGGTAGTAGTCGAGACCCCGAATCCTTCCCCGTCCTCCCCTCCCCCCCCTCCGCAGTCGAGACTTTCCCCCTCCTCCCCGCCCCTCCGGGCAGTCGAGACCGACTCCTTCCAGGTCTCCCACCCCGCGGCCGTCGAGATTCTCTCCTACTCGGCACGTGGCAGCGCCCTGTGAGCGAGACACAATCGTTTCGTTCTGCTCGCCACTTGGCAGAGCAGCGGGCCGGGACCCATTCGACTTGACTCGTCACGTGGCAACGCCCGAGGGGCCAAACGGGCCGATTCGATGATGCTGAACACGTGGCATCGCATCGCGGAGGGAGACGTTCACGTCTACCAGACTCGTCAACGCAGCAGGCTGAGAAACATACAGTGCCACTCTACTCGCCACGCCGTGATGCCAGCCAGGGCGACCAAATGTCATTTCATTCCATTGCCACGGAGCGGACCGGAAGACATACCAGTCTTTGCAGACAGAAAGGGAACAGCCATTCCACTCGACTCGGGCGGGGCGGGCAAACGTTCCATTCCCCTTGAGCTGTCACGCGGCAGCGCCTGAAAGGCGACACCACGCTATTCCAGTGTGCTTGGCAAGCGTCTACTCGGCACGCGGCAACGCCTTGCGGGCGAGACGCAACTACATCGGCCCAATGACAATTCCTTGAATTTTCGTCACGTCGCCCGCTAGCGGAAGCCGACGGAAGTCAAACGAGGCGGAAGACGTCGGAAAGCCGTTGGAAGGCTTGCGGAAGACAGCGGAAGTAAATGACGCCTTGCCCTACCCCCCCTACCCCCTATAGAAGCCTAGCAATGTAGTCTTCTCCCGTGGGCCGGGCGGGATCCCGCCTAGCTTACTCCCCTTTAACATTATAAGTTAAGTTCAGGCAAACTAAAATCCCACCCGTTAAAATAGGATAAATAATTATCCCGGGTCGTCCACGGATCCCGCCATGCTGGGATCGTTTCAAAGTAAGATGCGGCTCCGAAGTTGCAGCGTTCCTGGCATGTCAGGGTCGTCTTAAGATTATCTTGAGATCAAACCTCGGTCATGCTTGGATCGCGCAGCCGTCGTGTTCATTCTGGGGCCACCCTCGGCGCGCGTGGACCCATCTTGTTGCCATCGAGCCATCTCGGCGTCACTCGTGGTTCCTGTTCGGTCATCTTCGAGTCGGCCTGGGACGGTCCAGAATCCATGGCGGGATCGTGCTGGGGTGGCGTCATCCCAGGGTCGTCTGGACGTTGCCGTCTGCGGCCTCAGGCCCTCTTGGAACCATTTTGCGGCCATGTGGGCGTCTTGGAATCTAGCGCGCGCGAGCGCGGAGCACGCGCGCGCGCGACAACTCACGTCGCCGATGGGCGTGTACACATATACTTCTTATTGCGAGTTTTCAAGGGAACTTTTGTTGGAGCCAAGTATGCTGTTCTGCTCGCCAAGTGGTTGCGCAGCAAGCCGGAAAACACCAGAGCACGACCAACTATAATTACCATTCTGCTGCGCTCGTCACGCGACACCGCCTGGGGGGCGACACCAACATCATTCCATATTGCGCTCTCGCCACGCGGCCACGCAGCGCGGCGGAAAAAAAGACATTCGACTTTTACCCATCACGTGGCCACGCGGGAGGGGGAAAAGAGAAGGGGGGGGGGGGGCGGGGGGATCGCGCGCGAAGGAGAGAATTTCGACTGCCGGGGGGAGGGGGGGGACAACACTGGGGAAGGAGAGGGTCTCAACTGCCGGCGGCGGGGAGGGGTGGGGGGGGGCTGGAAAGAAGAGAGTCTCTGCACGCGGGGGGGAGGAGGGGAGGGGGGGGGTTCAACTCTTCCAGGGCTTCCCCCCGCCCTCTCCCCTCCTGCAGTAGAGACTCCCTCCTTCCCGAACCCCTTCCCCTCCTCTCCCCTCCGCCTCTCCCCCCCCGCGGCAATCCAGGCTCTCTCCTTCCCGGGCTTCCCCCCCTCCCCCCGGGCAGTCGAGACTCTCTCCTACTCGGCACGTGGCAACGCCCTGCGGGCGAAACACAACTATTTGATTCGACTCGCCACGGGGCAAGGCAGCGGGCCAGCAGCCATACCAGAACACTCGACTCGTCACGCGGCGCCGCCTGGGGGGGGGGGGAAACCGATGCTCGTCGCGCGGCCCCGCGGGAGGAGGAAGAGGAGGGGGGCGGGGTGAGCGCGCGGGAAGTGCGAAGGAGAGGGTTTCGACTGCCGGGGGGAGGGGACGTGGCCTCCCCCCCCCCCCTTTTGTGTGGATGGGGGGTGGGGGGAGGGGGGTCCCCCCCCCACCCTGGTGGAGGGGGGGTGTCCCACCCACCTCCCTCGCGCTTCCTTTGCTGGGTATCGCTCGATCGAAAAACAAGATGAGGAGAAGGACGAGTAGGATCGGGAGGACCGCGACGCGGAAAGGGAGGAGGCGGATGAGGACGATCATCCCGGGTTGACCTCAGAGTAGGAGTGGGGGAGGAGCGGGACGAGGTGCGCATAACCGCTCGGATTCCAGTCCCTGTGTGGGAAAGCGGGGGGTCTAACCTCCATGTGTTTTCAAAGGGTGCGCCGGTAGCCGCTCGGATTCCAACCCTTTAGGTGGGGGCCCTTCTGGGCTTCAAGAGGAGCTGGAGGCCAACGGAGGGTGGGAAGTCCAATCCGCTTTTCTCCAAATCGGCTTGCCTATAGGATAAATTGCTCGTTGTGTAAAAAAGAGGGGGTCCGTGTCCACGCCCCTCCTGTTCTTTCCGCTACTCTGACATTGTGCGCCGTACCATGTCGATGTACGATATTGCGTACTCCAATGGGCTCCTATGAATATTCGAATGGATCCCGTTAGTACTCCATGGGCATTCCAGTGGAGTCCTTTGGATATGTCGATAGGTTCCAATAAGTACTCCGATGCTTCGTACGGATCATCCCAAAGGGTTTAATTTTGTACTTCAAATCGAATCCCATGGAGCCCTGTTCCACTGTATTCCCTGGGTATTCCATTGGAGTCCAATGTGTATTCCAATGGAGTACAATTGGGGTCCAAGTGAATCCAATTGTGTCAGGTGAGGCCCAATGGAATCTCATGAAATCAAATGGAATCCACTGTACTATCGGACATCTCCTACATAGAACCAACGATCTGAAGGTCCGCTCAGCTTGTGTCTTCATAGCGTGCGGCAGTATCTACTCGGACTCCAAGCCCTGGGCGGGTGTCCTCGAGGGCCCTCAGGGAGAGCTTGAAACTCACGGAGAGCCGCTCCGCCTCTCCTTCCAAGGGTGCCCACCCCGATAACTGCTCGGACTTCAGCCCTTCGGTGGGAGCCCTCGGCGGCCCTTTGGTGTGGGGGCTGGAGGTCAACAGAGAGCTGGAGGTCCACTCGACCCGTGCTTTTGCAGGGCACGCTGGTAGCCACTCGAAGCCTAACCCTTCGGTGGGAGCCCTTCGTGGGGACACAGGTCGCGGAAACAATAGCGAACACTCACGCCACCTTGATCGGTAAACGCCCCCCCCCCCCCCCCTCCCCCGGATGCTCAAATTTGGCGGTGGGTCTGATGAGTTGTACTTCGACCGCAGTCTCCTCCGCGCGTGCCAACTTTGAATTTTTGGGAAAGGGGGAATGTTCATTCATTGTTTCCCCCTACCGCATTACGGTTGTTTGCTCTTGCTAGGTATCCGAGGAACAACAGGCTGAGGCTGATGACGATGAGGGTGAGGCTGAACATCTGGGGAGAGTAAGGGCGGCGAGGATGAAAGAGATGGTGATGGAAGTGAGGGTGATGATGGTAATGATGTGGGTGAGGTTGTACATGAGGGTGACCGAATACGAGGATAAATGCGATAACGATGAGAGCGCTAGTGCGAATGACAGTGAAGATGCGACGAATTGGGGACGGTGGAACTGTGAGCGCGGATGTGGTTGAATATAATCAGCATGACAGGGTGTGTGGGGCCTCTGTCCTGTCCTCCGTTTGCTCCTGTTCGAGCGCAAGAGGACACAAGAGCCCCACCTGAGGTGCGGGTGAACCTGGAACGGCCACCCCTGGCCTCCTAACTGGGGCGGCGGAAAACGGGCTGGCCCTGCGGCTGCAGCTCGAAAACAAGTGACACGCACTGGAGTCTGGCACGCTGCACTCCTTCTGGCTGCTCTTACTCCTTGCCCCGCCGTGGCCCCCCTCCTCCTCCTCCTCCTCCTCCTCCTCCTTTTTCCTCTCCTCTCCTCCTCTTCCTCCTCCTCCTCCTCCTCCTCTCTCCTCCATCATCATCATCATCATCATCATCATCATCATCATCATCATCATCATCATCATCATCATCATCATCATCATAATCATCATCATCATCATCATCATCATCATCATCATCATCATCATCATCATCAGCACCAGCAGCAGCATCAGCATCAGCATCAGCATCAGCATCAGCGTCAGCATCAACATCATCATCATCATCATCATCATCATCATCATCATCATCATCATCATCATCATCATCGTCATCCTCTGGGTGAAACGTGCTCAAGCCCCGCACAGCAACGGGACAAGCCGCACTGCGTTGAGGCCGGCGAGGCCGAGATGGTGCATGTGAACCCACATCAGCAGGCTGTACTGCACCGCGCCGAATGCGCCGAGAAGGAAGAAAAGGCCGCTGATGTCCTTCACCACTCTCTGATTCGACAGCGTCAGCGTGAACTGCGCTACGTTGTTCACTGCCAGCGACATCAGCTGCGAGTCCATGAACAACGCCTTTGCTGCCGGGCAAGCGCTCACCGTGCTGAAATTGAGCTGGACAAAGTTGAGAAAGGTGACAACTTCCATGGCAACAACAGACCCCATGGCTGGAGCCATGAGAGGGTGGAAAACTCGAGCGACCATCTTGTCGCTCTTTGTCTCGTACGCGCTATTCCACCTTTTGATCTGCAACACCCACTTCGTAAAGAAATATACCGACAGCGCGCCCCATACCTGGGCAATCCAGTTCCCGAATATGGAGTGCGGGATCCAGCCCAGCAGTGGGGCCTCCAGCACCTGCACGAGCGCGAAGATCTGGATGGAGATGCCGACCCAGAACTTGAGCACCAGGTCCTTGTTGCCCATCGTGCCGAGACGCCGGATCCCGGTCACCAGGATGACGGCGCTCAGGACCACGTTGAACACCACCTCCGAGTGGCTCGCCTCGCGGATGCCGTGCGCGAGGCGGACGGTGGTCCACGTGCTGCCTCCCAGAACGGCCACGACGCCAGCGACGCCGTGGACCGAGAACAGGTACTTCGCCCACTGCCGCAGGGTCATCTTCCTTGCCTTCGGCATGGAGGCCACCGCCTGCGCTCCTCGGGCCGCGCGCCTCGGCGGCCTCGGCCCAGGAGCGGATCGCCCAGGGCTGCCGAAGGATGCGTAGGACGAGGCCAGGATCGAGACAAAATCGGACCGTTACGACTCCTCCTCGCCTCCTCCTCCTCCTCCTCCTCCTCCTCCTCATCTTCCACGGCCTCCGTCTCCGCCCACTTCGTCGCCGACGTCGTGGTCCTCTTCAGGGTCGGCGGCACTGGCCGTCAGGCCTTCGCAATCGGACCGTTACGAATCGGAAACCTCCGAGGATCGGAGGGCTTGGAGGGTGTCTCGGGCGCCGCGGCCGCTTCAGAGCGCTCCAGGGCGCTCCGAGAGCGTTCCAGAGCCCCCTGCAACGGATTAATGCGAGGCGGGGATTGATCCATGTCCACCGCCTGGGAACCGACGTCCTGGTGCCCCAGCGGCCGGTGAATATGGACATGTTTTGGCTCCTGGGGGCCCGAATCTGTCCATATCCGTCGCCTGTGGAGGTCCGCGAAGATCGATCCCCCAGGCGGTGTTTATGGATAAATCCCCGCCTCGGAATCCCACCAGCCCTTTAGGGCGTGAGTGGTTTAGAGAGCCCCCTCTGTCCTCAACCCCCCTTCTTCCCCTTCGGGGAGGGGTTTACCCCTCCCCCTCCCCCCTCCCCCTGGGCCTGGAGAGGGCGTCCGGCGGGTGGTTGGAGGGGTCTTCTTCGACTCCTGGGAGGGCCAAAAAACGACGACCCTCACGAGGATTCTGGCCCCGTCGGGGGGCCCAGAAAAAACCCTCTCCTCTTCTGTGAAGCCAAACTCCTTGCTTTTACGAGGGTTTTGGCCCCATTTTGGCCTCCCGAGGGGGCCGCGCTCATCTTCCTTCATAGCAAAATCATTGATTTTACGAAGGTTGTGGGCTCATTTTGTCCTTCTCAGGGGGCAGCGCTTCTTTGCGCTTCTGAGGAGGTCGCAAGAGGCCCCAAGATGGCCCCAAGAGGCCCCCAGGAGCCTCCCAAGAGGCCTCCAAGAGGCCCCCAAGAGGCCCCCAAGAGGCCCAGAGGCCCCAGGAGGCCCCCAAGAGGCCCCCAAGAGGCCCCCAAGAGGCCCCCAAGAGGCCCCAAGAGGCTCCAAGAGGCCCCCAAGAGGCCCCACGAGGAGCCCGAACGACTCACACCAGGACGAGGGGCCCGAACGACTCACACCACGAAGAGCCCGAACGACTCACACCACAACGAGGGAGCCCGAACGACTCACACCACGACGCGGGCCCCGAACGACTCACACCACGAGGAGCCCGAACGAGTCACACCAGGAGGAGGGGCCCGAACGACTCACACCAGGATGAGGGGCCCGAACAACTCACACCACGAGAAGCCCGAACGACTCACACCAGGACGAAGAGCCCGAACGACTCACACCACGAAGAGCCCGAACGACTCACACCAGGAAGAAGGGCCCGAACGACTCACACCAGGACGAGAAACCCCAAACGACTCAAATCACGAGGAGCGCTTTCTCTCCCTCCTCCTCCGCCTCGTCCTTCTCCCGCTCCCCCACAAGGAGGATGTACAAGGAGGCGGGAGGAAGGAGGAACAGGGGAGATATGCGGGGCCAAACGGACACACGCCCGAAAAACACGACTGTCGCCATGCTTCGCATGAGTTGCTGTTGTGAGATGGGCTGGTGGGGATACGCGAAGCGTAAAGAATTTATCTCTATTCTGGGCCCGTCCGAATGCGCCCACGCCATCGCACTTGACTGGATGGGCTGCGAATGCCTCTGGCCTCCCGGTCTCAAAAGGCACCGAGCAGATGGCCACTGCCGCTAAGAGCCACGGCACCAATGCCCTGCGATGTCCCGCGCGCCCGCCCATGGCCGCGAACCCGACGGCGCAGCAGGATGCCTTGAGCCCAGATGGGTGCAACTGTGACTCCGCGGACCAGCATGGGAGGAAGAGGAAGATGAGCAACAGTAGCATCCGGATGAGGACGAGGAGGCTGAGGCTCAGGTGGGGGATGGAGAAGAAGACAAGGGGGATGATTGAGAATGGCACGGGGGAGAGAAAGGCGTCAGGGAGGAATAAGACAGGGATGGACCCAAATGACAAGCCGAATAGTAATAGTAACAAGTTATTGCCACTCACGCTACGAATAATAACGATATTACTAATAGCGTAATCATAATGCTAATGCTACTGCTGATATCAATACTACTGCGAAACTAATGATACGAATTAAAAACTAACAACACTAATAGGAATAACGATCACGCCAAGAAGAACTACATCAAACTCTGTCAATGATTTCTGCCGCCTGTGAATCCCATCGAGGCGCTGGAAGGTGTCGCATTGTCAGGGGCTGCGGGCAAAGGGTGAGCAGGACGACCGAGAGTCAGGCCGAATGGGTGTGGAGGAGGCAGCTGCGGTGATGGCTCGCTTGCAAGACGCTGCCCCTGCAGTCCTGTGGGGCATGCGCCAGCCGCCGTCGCCGAGACGCGGCTGAGGAACCACAGCCAGAACACGACCCCCCACAGCCAGAACACGACCCCCCACAGCCAGAACATAGCCAAAACACGACCCGCCACGGCGGAGGAACCACAGCCAGAACCACAGGAAGTGACGGCCTAGCAGGAACTTTCGGAGCTCCGCGCGGATTTCTTGGATCGGCGCTGGGCACCCCTGGCGGCGCCTCCGGCGCTGCCGCGCTCCGCGCGCCAGGGAGGGTGTCCATCGCCGATCCGAAAAATCCGCGCGGACTTCCGAACATCTCTGTTCATGCAAAGTTTCTTCTCCTGGAGAGGGCACATTTTTTTCCGATGGCAGACCATGCGCCAGACACGACGTGGCATGAGGCGCGACTGGCAGGATACGAGGGCACCCTTGATCCTGCGGGGTCGACCTGCCGATCGTACATGACTGCGGAGTGCAAGCGCGCACACCCCAGAGCAAGCACACGAACGGCAGGTTCGTGTCATCACGACCCCAGCGCGGGTTACTGATCATAGGCTACGACCCCACGACCCCAGCCACGACCCCAGCGCAGGCTCTTGGCCCAACCGTTTTTGATCATAAGACGCGCTCAACACAAGCGAGGCTACTCCGTCACAGGTCGCACAGGTCTGGGGCTATGATCAGTCCGTGCATTGCAGGCTGCTGTAAATGCACAGTCGGAATCTTGCGGAGCTCTGAACACACATACGCCTTCTCGAGGAACGCCCGCTGCGGGGGGCCCGGCGCACATAACACGCGCACGCTGGATCCGAGAAGTGCGGAGCGAGCCAGCGGTCGGCAGGCGCCCAGTCCTGCGGATCTCTGCGTACTCCGCCGGCGAGAGGAGGCCATTCTCCAGACACCTCTCGGGGGGGGGGGAGCGCGGCGAGCCGTGCGCGAGGGATCCTCTAGGGGGGGGGGGGGAGCGACGTGACGGCACGACGAAACGAGACGAGACGACGGGGGGGGAGGAGGAGGAGGAGAGTAGAAATAGTAGGGAGAGGATGAGGAGGATGAGAATGATGATGAGGATGGGGATGAGGAGGAGGAGGAGGAGAAGGAGGAGGAGGAAAAGGAGGAGGAGGAGGAAGAGGAGGAGTAGGAAAAGGGAGGAGGAGGAGGAAGAGGAGGATGAGGAGGAGGAGGAGGAGAAGGAGGAGAAGGAGGAGGAGGAGAGGAGGAGGGGGGGGAGGGAGGGAGGGAGGGAGGAGAAGGTGGAGGGAGGATCAGGAGGAGAAGGAGGAGGAGGAGGAGGAGGAGGAGGAGGAGGAGGAGGAGGAGGGCGAGCCGTGCGCGGGGGATCCTGCCCCGCCCTGCCCCTGTGCGCCCTGACGGCGCCCTTAGACAGGCGCGTTCCACTACACGCAGGGTAACTGCTCGCAAATGGTCTGGATCCGCCAGGGTGGTTTTACGATACATTACATTGAGGCAGACACGCTTCTTTGTCGTTGTTATTTGTTTTCTCTTTTCGAGGCCGACGTGCATTCTTGTCCGGACGTTTGCGAGTAGGCACTCTGCGAGTGATGGAACGCGCTTGGAGAACCCATCGATAGCGGCCGCTGCCTGGCAGGCGGCACTCGCCCCAAACGGACAATGTCCGCGGCAGGCTGGCAACGAATCCTGTTCGCCATGGGCAGGGGCTGCCGTCGGCCTTCGTACCCACGTCGTCCGCCACGCACAACTGTGGGCATGCGTCTGGGGCAGCCAACAGCACAAGCCCAGACATAACTCGACGCGACCATCTGCTGCATCTACGGGGCACTCTTAAGCACGTCTCGCCAGCCTCATGGGTACCGGGGCGATGAGGATGACGATGATGATGATGATGATGATGATGATGATGATGATGATGATGATGATGATGATGATGATGATGATGATGATGATGATGAGGAGGAGGAGGAGGAGGAGGAGGAGGAGGAGGAGGAGATGTGCGCCCCTCGCCCAACGCCCTCTACGTGATCGGGGTGTGCGGGCTTGGCTCTCGCGGTGTGCCTGGGCAGGCCCAAGGAAGAATGCACAAGGTACTCTCAAGGCCCTCCCGTGCTCGAGTATACGCAGAAGGCGTCTATACACCACCGCCGTGCCAAGGCCAGGACCATCCTGGGCCCCAGGATGGCGTACACGCCCTTCTAGCCGAGGCCAGGAGGGTCTGTACACCATCCTGGGGCTCAAAATGGCCCTGGCCTGGCACGGTGGTGGTGTATAGATGCCTTCGTCGGAAAGTAGCGTTTCTGCGTCCTGGTCTGCCGCTCCGACCGCTCTGGACGACCGCCGACGCTGTGACTACAAACATCCGGGCTTGCCTTAGGTCGGGCATGTCCCCCTACAGGCGGAATCTCGACGAACAATAATTACCCTGGCGACGTACCCAACCCCTGCGCAAATGCGGGGCATGAGTCGCCCAGGCTACTTTATAAAGGGGCGATGACGTGACATGGACGTATATATGTTTGCGACCAGCATTTGGGAGGCTCGCAGGACCCCGATCAAGGGATAAAGGCGCGGTAGAGATCACTGTCCAGTTGAATCCCTGGACCGTCAGAGAAAGGCCAAGGACCAAGATGAGGACGTGGGCACGGGGGCTTGACATGTCAGCGGGGCAGTAGCAACATGACATGGCCAGACCACGACCCCCAGCAGGCCTCGAACGTGGCGACAGTTTCACAGATCGCAGCCCCCCAGGGATGACGAGGTCTAATTTGAATCCGCGTAGGGCGTCACTGTGCTGGGCCCCCCCAGCAGGCCTCGAAAGTGGCGACAGTTTCACAGATCGCAGCCCCACAGGGATGGCGAGGTCTAACTTGAATCCGCGTCGGGCGTCGCTGTGCTGGGCCCCCACAGCAGCCCTCGAAAGTGGCGACAGTTTCACAGATCGCAGCCCCCCAAGGATGGCGAGGTCTAATTTGAATCCGCGTAGGACGTCGCTGTGCTGGACCCCCCAGCAGCCCTCGAAAGTGGCGACAGTTTCACAGATCGCAGCCCCCAGGGATGGGGAGGTCTAATTTGAATCCGCGTAGGACGTCGCTGTGCTGGGCCCCCAGCAGGCCTCGAAAGTGGCGACAGTTTCACAGATCGCAGCCATCAGGGATGGCGAGGTCTAATTTGAATCCGCGCGTGGCGTCACTGTGCTGGGCCCCCCAGCAGGCCTCGAAAGTGGCGACAGTTTCACAGATCGCAGCCACCCAAGAACGGCGAGGTCTAATTTGAATCCGCGCGTGGCGTCACTGTGCTGGGCCTCCCCAGCAGGCCTCGAAAGTGGCGACAGTTTCACAGATCGCAGCCCCCCAGGGATGACGAGGTCTAATTTGAATCCGCGTAGGGCGTCACTGTGCTGGGCCCCCCCAGCAGGCCTCGAAAGTGGCATCAATTTCACAGATCGCAGCCCCCCAGGGATGGCGAGGTCTAATTTGAATCCGCGTCGGGCGTCGCTGTGCTGGGCCCCCACAGCAGGCCTCGAACGTGGCGACGGTTTCACAGATCGCAGCCCCCCAAGGATGGCGAGGTCTAATTTGAATCCGCGTAGGACGTCGCTGTGCTGGACCCCCCAGCAGGCCTCGAAAGTGGCGACAGTTTCACAGATCGCAGCCCCCAGGGATGGCGAGGTCTAATTTGAAGCTGGGCCTCCCAGCAGGCCTCGAAAGTGGCGACAGTTTCACAGATCGCAGCCCCCCAGGGATGGCGAGGTCTAATTTGAGTCCGCGGTGGCGTACCCACTGTGCTGGGCCCCCAGCAGGCCTCGAAAGTGGCGACAGTTTCACAGATCGCAGCCCCCCAGGGATGGCGAGGTCTAATTTGAATCCGCGCGTGCGTCACTGTGCTGGGCCCCCCAGCAGGCCTCGAAAGTGGCGACAGTTTCACAGATCGCAGCCCCCCAGGGATGGCGAGGTCTAATTTGAATCCGCCCGTGGCGTCACTGTGCTGGGCCCCCCAGCAGGCCTCGAAAGTGGCGACAGTTTCACAGATCGCAGCCCCCCAGGGATGGCGAGGTCTAATTTGAATCCGCGCGTGGCGTCACTGTGCTGGGCCCCCCAGCAGGCCTCGAAAATGGCGACAGTTTCACAGATCGCAGCCCCCCGCAGGCAAGACAGGAGGAGACAGGATGGAGGAGGGAGGAAGGTGGAGACCACACTGCTCTATTCAAAACGAATACCCAACCAAAGAGGGTTGGGAAAAATAGTCAAAACATGCTCCAAAATGGTCAACAAATAATCAAAAAATCGTCCCACTATTAATTTTTGGCTATTTTTGAATATTCCTC